ATGACGAAATTAGATATATTATAATGTATCGTCACAATAAATAATTATATAATGACGAATTAGTTGTAAGAGTCATTTTAAATAACATCAACAGTGACGACATTTTGTTTGTCATTTTTAATTTCGTCACATTTTATATACATGTGATGAATTTAGATGTATATGTGACGAATTGGGGTGAATTGTCGTGAAAAGTACCATTATGTGACGAAAAATAAATTCTAAGATGACGAATGTAGTAGTCGTCGCTGTATGCAATGATGTAATGACGATTCCTTACATTCGTCACCATATGACAACATACGGTGACGATTCTTCTTTCGTCACATGAATTTCGTCACTTTTTGGCAGATTTCTTGTAGTGCTTTCTAAAAGGAACCTCAACCCTGAGGATCGGCTAGATATAATTTGTCGTGTCTTTAAGGCGAAGTTTGATGCACTGATGAAGGATGTTCGGACCCATATAGGACGACCAAAGTTTCATCCGCCACACATATATAGAACATTTAAGAAGGTGGTAGAGGCAGGTATTTGATGCATGAAACCCTACCACGTACAACTTTTCGCCGTTTCTTCTTCACTTTTAATTTTTTTCTCTCATCTGACACAAACACTCGGATCGATTCCTATTTTGTTTAGCTGTCGTAGTCATGCTTTTAATTTATCTACGGGGAAGCTATTGATCTAGATGTGAATTGTTTGTTTAAAGGTTTAATATATTTGTATGCTTTTTGTATTATTTCGTGGATAAAGTTTTGGGATCATTTTTGTTGTATAAATTTTCTATGACAATAATTTTGGTCGGGAAACACCTTAAAATTTTCTATGGCATAAATACGACAACTTCTTAAAAATTTTCAGCGAAGCAACCCGGGCCTGAAGCGTGAATTCACTGACCCTACACGATAAAAAAATAATATTATAAAAAATCGATATTGAAATAGTATGTGTTAAAAAAGACTGAAAAATTTTTTATACCTTGACATCGTGAAATACGTACTTCAATCCGCCATTTTGATGTTTTTTCTTTTTATTTTCATTTCATCAAAGATCTTGTTGAATAATGGCGAATCAACCTCAATATTATTAAACATGAAAGCCATTTGAAATGAGAATTTGGCTGAATTTTTTTTTCCTGTTGAGTAGTATTTTTTACTGAATGTGCTTTTGGTTCTTATTTTTTCAGCTATTTATAAAGTTTTAAGAAATGGTCATTGATTGTATAATTTAATTGCCAAGTGATTGCTCAGTTTTAAAGAATAATTGATTGATTATAATTTATTTTTTTGA